CGGCTCTTCAAATCTAGGGTCCTCACTCTAACTGGGATCAATTGGGCCTTAAATAAAATTTATTAACACATGAAATTGGGAGTATCAATTGGGCCCAATATACATTGTAATAAAGCCCAATAAGTATGGTCCAATGCAAGAGGCCCAGTTTCCAAAAATTCTGACTACTTACGGCCCGATTTAATTTCCGAAAAATTCCGATTTATCACGTATACCTAATTTCATATTATAGGTGAATAATAAATAGAATTTTCTTATATATACCGTCGTTTGATATCCTTACATTTTCTAATTCACGAAATGCCGATTTCAATTCCTTATGTAACGGAATTGGAATTAGTTTTTCGTAACTTTCGAAGAAGTTGAACAATTCGACCCCGCATCACATATACGATGATATAGATAAAACCGAAGAAAATTCAAATTCATGGCATGGTACATATATAATACACACACACACACGCACACGCACACACAAAAACATGTGTGCGTGTATTTCTGGTACAGACTGTTATATGTGCAGCTGGCTATGATGCTGTGTACAGTTCCCATGCATGCATGCATGCATGCAATTTTCTCTAAACTCCTCTTTGTCTGCAATTTTGTATTCATAATATATATATATATATATATATATATATATATATATATATATATATATATATATATATATATATATATATATATATATATATATATATATGAGATGTCTGTAAAAAAGTAATGCATACACAGTTGATCTACTGCACAAACTTTCCATTCTGGAGAAATAAAGCAATTGCACTTTAATTGTGTTTTTTGTTGCATTTGTGTGAAAGGGTAAAAACTTTGTGACAAGTTGTAGTATAGAAAAAGACAAATCCCACATTTATTTGCCTTTTGTCCACACATGCGAAAGATATACAGTGACTCGTGTGTGTGTGTGTGTGTGTTTTTGCAATTCTTAATTAATTACAATATTATTATTATTTTATTATTTAAAATATTAATTATAATATTATAATCATTTCATTTTAGATGGCGAGATTTTATGATACTCTTACCCATTAATGAAGATATGAAATTAGAGAAATAAATTTTAAATATATACTTATAATAGTTTCAAGTTTGGAAGTAAGGACAAAAGTGCAGAGGAATTAAGGAAAGCTGAAAAAAGTAAAAAATTGAAAAAGTGACCCTCTGATTTTCTGGCCTTTTCTTATTTCCAACTATTATTATATTTCATTAAAATAAATATAGCCATATTTCATAATACTTGAAATGCATTCATTTCACATACGCTTTCTTGATTTTTGGATATTGATAGACCAAAATACCATTGCTTACGAGTTAATGCTGATTTTAGGATATTGTTACACAAACATACTCTTGTTTACTAGTTAATGCATAACTGAAATATATGTATTTCATGCAACGTTGAAATTCGATAGTGAGAGATAATATAAACAATTTTTTTTCTTCCAAAAGTGACAGATATTGTGAAACGAATGGAGTACTGATTAGTAATTTTATCCATATCCGAGAAAAATATTCATTCCATAACACTTAGCTAAATCGAATTATGATGTGTCATGACCCATATTTGTTAAGACGAGGTTTTCCACTAAAAGAAGGATCAAAATTTTGGAAATTGAAACGAAAATATTTGTTCCAAAATCTTTGAAATCGACTGAATTCATAATCTTCAATTTTCAGTCATCTATAACATAAAATACAATATTGTTTCAAAATCGGCTGAATTAAGTATTGTTTCAAAATCGAAAATTTTCAGATATAAATAGGCGTAATTTTTATTTTTTTTGATAAATTGTAAATAGTGGAGCACAAAATTAAAGTTGCACAAGAAAATCCAGATGTTGATTAAGAGATTTGATAGGCTTTTTGTGTAATGGGAAGCTACTCACTTGTTGCAATAAATCATCATTTAATTTAACCATTTATTTTTGCTATTCCCTATTTTTTCCCGAGAAGTGAAAAAGTCTACCATCTTTAGTCTTGTCATTTTGCAGATATTGCAATTATATTTCTAGGGTTTTGTGATAAGGCCTATTTACTCCACAAACTATTCTTCTTTAATCCATTCTCTAATTATTAACTCAAATTAACATATATGTAATCCTAATTTATATACAATCAAATAAATAATTCTTCAATTCCAATGATGTGTTAATTGCATTTTATTTTTCAAATTTACCCTTCACCACTCTTTATTACTTCCTTCGTTCCTTTATAATTGTTGTTTTTAGCTTGTGCACAAGGATTAAGGATCTTAATAAATATTGCATAATTTTAGAAAAATATATGTTCTTATACTAAAATGCCCTTGCCAATAATTAATGCGAGAGAGTGTTGGAGATAGTTAGTAAGGGTAAAATTGATAATTACACAAGTATTGAAAATGTAAAGTGACAGATAATATGGAACAAAAGTAATTTTAAAAAAAGACAGTTATTATGGAACAGAGAAAGTATCTAACAGATAATTAGTTGAGAAGTAATTAGTGACAAGGCTATTTTAATATTTTTCTATACAACAAAATTTTTGCTTCAACCAATGCATATTTATTTGTTTTCTTAATACGTGCAACAATTGAAAATGACATACATTATGAGACAGATGGAGTTGATGTACTCCCTCCGCCCCATATTGTTTTTTGTTGTTGCGCACGTATTAAGAAAATCAATAAATATGGATACGTTATAGCAAAAAATATAAGAAATCACTAAAATATTCTTACCATTAATATTTTTCATTTAATTAATTAAGACCGATAAAAGGTAAAATTGCAGATAATGCAATTAATGTTTCATTGAAATTGTAAAATGATAAATAATTCAGGATAAACAAATTCTTCAAATAGACAAATAATACAAAGACCAAAGAGAGTATACTAATATACATTAACTTAGGGGGTAAAAAGTAAAAACCACATGAGTTAATTTTTTCAGTATTTTCATTAACCCGGCGTTTACTTGGTCTAGGCTGCATTTACTGATAAATTAACCTCATATACACCCGGGTTTATTAAACTGTAAAATTAATTAATTTAATCATAAGCAAAACGCAAACAAACAAATAATTAATCAAATAAATCCTACGTTGGAAAGAAACAAAAAACATTGGTACAATGCTGTGATCAATAATAGTACCACAGATTACCATAAATTACGAAAATGCCACCACCAAAATTATATTGCAGACGCAATTTCGCCACCTCCACACTCAACCAAATTTTAAATGTACCCCCACCCCCCACTCCTGTTCCTTCATCGGTAACAGTAACACCCAGTCGTATTACTTTGCAGGCGCCTCTCTCTCTCTCTCTCTCTCTCTACATATATGTATATCTGTGTGTATGTATATATATAATATGATCATGACAGATATATAGAGCATTTCCTTCCTGTATCCAGTTTCTTTCAAACCAACGAACTACAAGTCATGGTGGGGCTCTCTCTCTCTCTCTAGCTTTCTCTCTCTAGATTTTTTTTTATGATAATTTTTTTTATAATTGTTTATGTGGGTATAGTTGGAGGGTAATTCGGAGGTTCCAGGTTGGCTAACGGCGCTGTTGACGGAGAAGTTTTTCAACGCGTGCATAATTCACGAGGAGGTTAAACGGAACGAGAAAAACGTGTTTTGCTTGGATTGCTGTGACGGAATATGCCCTCACTGCCTCCTCCGTCACCGTTCTCACCGTCTACTACAGGTCTGAATCTTTTTTTCTTTTTTCTTTTTTTTTTTTTTGAAGAAGCTGTAATAATTTAATTATCTAAATTTAAACTTATTTCTTGAAATTAATTAACTATTTTCTTTTTATTTTTTGAATTTCAGATAAGACGATATGTGTACCATAATGTAATCAAGCTTGTTGATGCTGAAAGACTTATGGACTGTGCTCAAGTCCAAGTAAACCAATAAATTAAATTATCTCTTTTTTTTAATTTATTTTAATTTTTAATTTAATTATTTTTTTTTAATTTGGTTGCAGACATATACTAGTAACTTTGCAAAAGTGGTGTTTTTGAACAAGAGGCATCACACAAGATTAGGCAAAGCAGCTTCAGGCAAATATTGCATCAACTGTGACAGAAACGTGCAAGATTCGAATCTCTTCTGCTGTATCTCTTGCAAGGTAAATTTTTACACACATTTACACACACTAAAGTGCACAATTTTCTTGAAAATTTCAACACCGACCCGTTTCATATTTTCGATTTTTACAACTGGGTTTTTTTTTTTTTTTTTTTTTGTAGCTTCAAACTATAATTAGAACTGGGAAGAAGGTCTCGAACTATCTACGCAAGTGCGATTTTCTTGCACTGTCTGAACCGGGTTTGGAAGACGGACAAATGACACCTGACTCGGTGTTGGAACCAGCCGGTTCGATGAGGACGGAGTCCGGCTCCAGCGGCGGCGGCGGCGCAGCCGGATACAGCGAGTGCCGTGCACTCGCCACCACCGCGACGACGGAGGCTGTGAGAAAGAAAAGGAGCAGTTCGAAAACCGGACACCGGTCCGCGTGCAGACCGGTTTCGGGTATTTATAACTCGGAGACCACGCTGAACCGGAGAAAGGGTACCCCTCAAAGATCTCCGCTTCTCTGACTTTGTTATGTACGGATCGGGCAGGGTTGTTGAGGGCATTATTGGTAATTTTTGAACTTCTTTTAGTAGGGGTAATTTAGGGTGAAAATTATTGTAGGTGTACTTCCTTTCGCAAAAATAGGTGCTTTTTTTGAATTGATAGAGTTATTAATGGTTAACTTTTATGTTTTAAAATAGTAAACGTGACACAGAATTGAAAGGTGTCTTCTGATATACCGATTCTACCCTTGTGGATTGGTAGTAATTAATTTAGCCTCAGAGATATATATATATATATATATATATATATATTGCTAATGTTGTTGATATGATTATCCGAATTTCAATTATTTTTATTATTTCCTTAATTATTTACTTGATTTAATGATTATTTGAATTTATTTGTATGAAATAAATTTAATAAATTGATAATGATGGGTAACTTCTTATGAATGAATTTTTACTAGATAAATCACTCTAATTATTTATAATTTATAAATGACTAAATACAAATTAAAAAAATAACCCAAACTGAGTTGACTCGTCGGATTGTGACCGAGTTGACTACCTGGTTCTGTGTGTGATCTTTCTGATCTTTAAAACGTCGTTATGTTCAAATTTTCCTATAATATAATAGAAAAATTCATGAGAGTTTTTAAGTTAGAAATATATATAATAGAGTACAATCATCCACAATCAAAATTCCTCTTATTGAATTCCATTGTTAAATTCCCACTCTCGATTCCTCCATCCACCGTTGTCGATTACGTATTTTAGGTAACACTTTTGTATAAATCGTGTTTGTTCATCTACTCCCGCTAATCCCACTTCACTAGCTAACCAGTCCAAGTAATCTAACTGTACGCAAACTTAATACTCTAAATTAGTCCCTCGTAAGCGGTTTTTTAAAGTAATCGACAAAGCAAACACAATGGTAATGAAGTTAAATAATGTTAGAAAATGGGAGAGAAACAAGAACCTGGGATGTTGGAATATTTTTGTGGACGAGGCTGTGAGTGTGGTGTTTGGGTATTCGTTTCTCATCCATTTTCCGGTAATATTCTTCAACCTCGGAAAGCATATTCCCCTCGGATGGGAGATTCCTTTTCCCTGATAAAACATGCGCTATCCACTTCGCTTGTAAATCGATCATCAGAAAAACAACACCCTGCAATTAAAAAAAAAAAAAAGAACTCGTTTTCAAATGAAATTATTTTCTAGCTAGTGCTTGAACGAACATAAGTTGGCATATACAGTTAAAACCTCTATAAACTAATAGAGTCGGAACTAGGAAAATTCTATTAATTTAACGAATTATTATATTATCAAGTTAATAATTTAACACGTTTTCACCGAGTCGGGACCGAGAGAAACTATTATTTAATCGAGGTTCTACTGTACGAATTTTCATGTGTCTCTATGAACCCATTACACTATTTGTTTCTGACGATGGTGTTTTCAAACTGTCGTTTATTGAAAGTTACTATGTTTGGCTAACCGAATTATAAGGAAGCCCGACAAAGGAAAGGGTGGGAGCGATCTTTGGAGGAAAGATGTGTTTGTAGAGGGGTCCCACACGGTTATCATCAACGGTCACAATTCCACCCGTTTTCAAGAACGGGAAATCGTACTTGTACCTGTCAAAAATTTGTGAGAGAAAATAATTAAATCCACATAAAATTCTTCAATGACGAGAAATATTCCAAACTGAGATGCTGATCAGTGTTACGGATTTTATACCCTGTACAGTGGAGGATTATATCTGCATGGACAGAGGCACCATCTTCGAACTTAACCTCTCCCTTTTCATCAACGTAATCAATCTGCAATGTAGGTTAATTATATTGTTTCATCTCAAATTCCAATAGAGTAGATGTCGTATGGTTCTAAAATCTAAATACAAACTCAATACGGTTTGAAGTTTCATAATCGATTTTGGATTCCAAATTTAACTTTATACTGCATTCATTCCCTTTTGCTTTCCAAACAGTATGTTCAAGATTAATATACGAAAATCTCGATTACCTTGGAGTGCTGCCACATATTATTTGCAAAATCCAACCTGGAAACTTTGACGTTAGGTGATCTTGAAGAAAGACGAACTTCCTTGGCTACTTTCGAGATTTCGAGAGAAATATCTTTTGCACTTGGTCCATCTCCAATTACCACCACAATCTACATCCCACATATAAAACCATAATGAATATCTATCTACAAAAAAAGAAGGGTAAACTACAACCACCCAGAGGTATGGTCAAATTACGAAAAAACCCCTCATGTTTGGATAATTACATCTACCCCTCAACTATGAATCTTCTTACATCTCCACCCTTATGGTGTCAAATTCAACATAATGATCTAAATTCCGTGAAATGTTCTCTAGTTTGTACTCGTTTTGTGCAAATATAAAGTTCTGATGCACTACAATCTGATATATATACAATCCAAAAAACACTTCATATGATCATCTAGCTTCAAAATGTGGAGCTCGAATGGGACAAAAAAATGGTCCAAAACTGAGAATATTCCATATCATCTAGAAGATTCCACTAAATTTAAAACCGCAAGGGTGGACGTGTAAGAAGATTTATAGTTGTGGGGGTGATTGTAATTACTCAAACAGGAGGGGGGTTTTCGTAATTTGACCATACCTTAGGGTGGTTGTAATTTACCCAAATAAGAAAATGAAGAAAAATAACGAAAGGAAAATCTAATCACCTGATCCTGAAATGGCTCGGGAACTCGATAGTTGTGGCTGTGCATCTGTTTTCCAGGCCATTTTTCCATGCCTTGCGTATTTCCAACAACGAAAAAAGAAGATTAGTTTTGATTAATTTGATCATACACAAATTAATATTTCTCTTAATATACCTGGAAAATCTGCAACTCTAGGTTGAGTGTGGTGCCCACTACAAACCACCACCGCATCAAATATCTCGTTCGAGCTCAACTCATTCATCTTCGACTCGACAACCCATTGATCATTCCTCAAATCGACTCTTTCAACTCGAACAACTTCGGTTTCGAACTGAATCAACTCAACCAATCGAAATTCACTAGCAAACTCATTCAAAAACTCGAGCACCTCCTCGTGACTAGGAAAAATACTCGATTCGCCGTACCTGCGAGCGAAGAATGGGCAGTCGAAAAACCCCATAAGTTGCCTAGGGATATTCGTGCGAAGTGATTGGTATAGGCTGCCATGGACAACTTCTCTACTCGGGTCAATTCCTAACGGGTCGGACTCGACTTCCGGGTCGAAAACCCATGTACCGCCGATTTGTTCCGATTTCTCGTAAACTATGACTCGATGGTTTTCCGATTTGAGGGCGTAGGCGGTGGCCAGGCCTGATACACCAGCTCCGATCACCGCCACCTTCATTTGAAGTAGGTGGTGCAAAATTACTAATCTAATTTAAAAACTAGGTTTATTTTGAATGAAAATCCTGCTCCGAAAATTCATGCCCTAAAAAAAATCAGGCACCAAGTTTGAGAAATTATGCCTCTCGGTTAACCTGCAATTGTGTAGATATCGAACAATTGGGGTTATTTTGGTGGTGGTTTCAAATCTGTGGATTGGAAAATGGCGGATTGAATTGTAGTTTCAGCTCTTAATTTACTCAATTACCTGTGTCCGACGGCTCGCTATCTGCTATGCAACGCCCACCGTAGTTCGTCGGAGCGTGTACTTCGATCTCCGGTGGCTGGATGTGGATAGGGGTTGATCGGCGCCGCCGCTTGTGGGAGTTCCTTCCGCTGACAAAGGTTTGGCGATACTGTTGCCCTGCATTTCAGTGCGTAGAGCGTATCAGCGGCCACGCCGCTGCTGAGAATTCGACCGCCGCCGCCGCCATAGTCGTGTCGTGTCACGTGTGCAGTGTGCGTTTGAGGTGGCCGTCGGTGGTGGTGGAGATAAGAGATGAAAAATAATAATAATATAATAATAATAATAATAAGGGTAAATTACGAAAAACCCCCCATAAACTTAGGCTAACTAACGAAAAAAACGCCTCCACCTATACATAATAACCAAAATTCCCCTCTAATTAACTGTTGATCGAGTTTTTTTAACAGAATTCATGTACAACCTGTTATACTTTCTGTTAAACAGGTGAGAAATAAAAAAATTATTTGAACTTATGTAAAGTCTATACTCTAGGATCCAAAAAATCCGTGAAAAATCACACTCTAAGGGATTGGTGTAAGACGGAAACAATCCTTATGGAATTTTTGATAATTACGAACAGGTAAAGGTGTCTTTTGTTATTTAGCCTAACTTTAGGGGAGTTTCGTAATTTACCCTAATTAAAAAGAGAGGGAAAAATATTTACTTTACTTAAAAGTCAAAAGTCAAAACTATATGTAGTACATAAACTTCAACTTTTTAATTTTTTCACATTTCATACACCTTTTTTATAAACTCGACACCTGCCGGACACCCTATGGGCCATTTCGTAATTCATAAAAAGTTAGAAACATGTTTGAATAATAAATAAATATTTTTTTTTACTTCCCTGATTATTTACATGATTTAATGTTCAATATTAAATAATAATTGATGGTAAAATTTATTTTGAATATATTTGTATAAAAATAGTCTATAAATAAATAAAAACTTATATGTGTTTGTATAATATATATATAAATATACTTTTATATTTTCAATAATTACATATTTTCCCTAAATTCCTGTAACCCCTTTTCAGTACATATCGTCTCCCTGAATCACTTTTTTCGTGTCCGTACTTCATAGCCAAAAGTAAATGTACCTTTCTGAACATTCAAAACAAAACATAATCACTCAAAGACATGATTCAATTTAATATATATTTTCACC